ACAGAAGAGATTTTTTCTTCTTTTTATATACCGATTTATCACAGTTTCTATGACAAAACCGTTCAATAGAGCTCCATATTTATTAATAACAGAGTTAGAAAAAGAGGAAAAAAAACATTGTAATTTTAGTAAATCAGAAAATAGACAATAGAAATGCGACACAATATTTTTCTTCCTATAATAGGTACTAAACTATGTAGCAAACGTAGGTAAACTTATTATTCAAACTGTTTTTACAGTAAAATTTTAATGAGGTTATACAGAAAAAGAATAACATTTCCCTGTCACAAATAAAAAACACCGTTTAGCATAACAATTAAAAATAAACATTTATGTTTTTCCTCCAAAAAAAAATGTACCTCTTTTAATTTATATCATCATAAATATTTTCCCTGCCCGAGCCATGCGTAGCACTCGTTTATTTCTCTCACACAGCCACGTTGCCAGACTTACAAATTACTGGAAATTTTTTTGTCGGAGTACATCCGGCCTACGTCACTGTAAACGTATCAGGTTTGTTCCAACACTAATGTTTTACGTTCAGGAACGGTAATTGGGATAGACAGCATCAGATTGCATGTGTCGATTTAGACAGTTCTGTTCAATTCATTCAAACAAATTCAAAACCTGATTTTTATTTATTTATTACATTACACATTATTCACTTTAAGCAGGGTGTTTCAAAAAACGTGTGCCATCTCTCGTGGGGAGATTCCTCACGTTAAAATAAGATTTATTTTTCATATCAACATAGGCCCGATTTTGCTTTGTCTCGTAGCTACAGGGTGTTAGAGTCTTAATATTTTTTCGATTTATTATAATTTTCTTCCAAGTACCTTTGGCGCTTCGAATAAAATTTTGAGGGTAAAAGTTACTATAAATGCGAAATATTTTAAAGCTAAAAAAGTGTCGACATATTCACCATGGACCTGCATATGGGTTATTACTGGAATATTTTTCTAAAAAAAAAAAACATGTACGCCACTGACTTTTTTTTCTTGTTAGCGAAATAGTGTAAGCAGTTTAATGCCGATTAAAAGTTGTCTCTTGGTATTTTGTCGATTTCGGCCTCCTTGATGAGATGCACAATTTTAGAGTTACATGATGTTAAAACTTTTTAAAATTAGTTTTTTTGTAATTACCTAAAATACCATTATTTTTTATTTAAAATAAAGTTGAATTAATAGTAATAATAACTAATAGTAATAATGTTTAAAAATAAATGAGGTAAAATATGTAATTTATTAATTTTATTTTTATTTTAATTTTATTAATTGTGATTAATACAATTATGTTTATCTCATCAAGGAGGCCGAATTCGATAAAATTTTAAGAGATAACTTTTAATTGGCATTAAGCGGCCTACTCAATCTTGATCTCAAAAGAAAAAAAAATCAGTGGCGCACATGTTTTTTTTTTGGAAACTATTCCTGTTATAGGAACTAATCTCGCCCCCACTCTACTTCCTACAGTTCACACCAAATAAACTTTTAGTCAGGTAATTAAGTTTGACAGACACAGCGTTGTCCACTTTTATATATTTTCTTTTAATCAAAATATTTTAGGAAACAGTAAATTAATTATACGGTGTATTTTTATGATTTTTTTTTCATTTTTCAAGTATACTTATTTTTCGGTAAGTTTCTTGTAAAAAGCATGGCAATTTTTCTTTGTTTGGCAAAATTCGAAAAAATAGGCAAAATGCATCTAGAAAGTCTACTTCTCAATTCTGGATGAAACGCAAAAGACTGTGCGCTGAACGATTCTCTCGTTGATGGAATGTATCTTCTCTACTGCGCATATGCGTAACCGTATCAAGAACGGTTCTCTGCCATGTTGGAACAAACCTACTATTCGGGGGGACGCGTTCCCCCTATATTCTGTGCCTTATCTCGCCCCTACTAATTCTTTCAGCCACATCCGGTTTTTCATTAAAGATAAAAATCGCTGCCGGAGCTGGAATTTGGGTATTCAATCACGGCAGCGGAACAATTTGTGTCGTAGGTTATGTTTCGTCCGTCCTCAGCCAGATTGAGTAACGAAACGTTGTTGCCAGCAGGATTTTTTGAGGGAACGAATAATAAAATATTATTTATCACTCACTTTTGCTCTATTTTCCGTTATTTGTTTTGTTTGACTCAGCTCTATAACTTATTTGTGTTTTTCAGATAAAAAACAAGTAAGTTATAAGATCGTGCACAAACGGGCCTCTCGAACTTAGAACGAATTTCGCTCCACTCTCCTTCCTACAGTTCATACCAAATAAACTTTTAGTCACGTGATTAAGCTTGACCGGCACAGCGTTGCCCACTTTTATATATCTTCTTTAAATCAAAATATTTTAGGAAGCAAAAATAAATTAATTATACAGTAATTATTTATATCAACAAAACTCTATCTACCTCTACTACTATTATATAACAAACTCTATCTACAATCTAACAAAGTTGCGATGAGTTTTTTACGGCTATTAAGCTACCTTGTACACTTCGCGCTAAAAGAGGTTCTAAAAAGAACAATGTCCGACTGCAAGGTCTGCTAGTAAACATTTTCAGCCTAAAGTATTACAACACCATTTATTTAAACCAAACATTCGTAATACAAAACTGAAGTGTCAAAACGAATGAGAGTGTCAGAAAATAAATAAATAAATGCGGCAACTTGACATTTTTACAGCAGAGCTACCACCTGAATCCCAAGTGCGAAATTGAAATTCCAGTTAGTCAGCACGGCGCCTAATAGGTCCATGTTGGCAACAATGAATTTAAAAATCGCGCCCTCGATTCCGTAACTAAAAGTTTAATTGATATGAAATATACGTAAATAATAGTAGGTCTACGAATGGGTCGATTGGTAGATATGCCAATGCGACAATGATTAGAATGGTCACTAACGGAATTAGTACTGGGAGAATTGTCAGATCAGGGGCTTGGAACACCCTCAAAAAGGAAATACCACTCCTGCAACTCCCAGTGGATGATATGCCAAGAACGTACAACTATGACAAACATGTCAATGTAGTATTGAGCAGTAAGAAGGATTGGAAGAGCGAAACGCTTGCCCAGCAGTTAAAAGACCATACCATAACTTGGTATACTGATGCTTCCAAAACCAATACGGGAACAGGGATCGGAGTGTTTGGGCCGAGAGCTAATTACTCCGAACCAATGGGCACTTACCCTAGTATCCTACAGGCAGAAATCTACGCTATCGAAAGATGCGTACAACTTATCTTAGATAGGAACTATCGGAAACAAGAAATAGCCATCTTGTCTGATAGTCAAGCAACGTTAAAAGCGATCAACTCAGTATCAATCAATTCGAAATAGGTCAAAGAATGCATAGAGAAGCTGAATAAATTAGGCAAAGAAAACAAAGTCCTCCTACTCTGGGTGCCTGCTCACCAAGGGATAGAAGGCAATGAAAAAGCAAATAATCTAGCTAGGAAAGGAGTAAACACTCCACTAACTGGACCAGAACCGTTCTACTTTCCAAGTGGTAACCAACTCAAGGCGGCACTCAAGAACTTAGATTCCATCCGCAACCTGGAATGGAAATCTTGCAACGGTCTAAGACACTCGAAGAAGTTTCTGAGGGCTTATGATCAAGAAAAATCACAGATCTTCCTGGGTTTAAGTAAGAACAATCTTCGGATTGTCACGGGGTTTTTAACAGGACACTGTCTCCTCAATGAACACCTCAGTAGATTGAAACTAAGAAGAAACGGCGAATGCAGATTCTGTGGGGAAGATGGGGAAACACCAGTACACCTCATCACTGAGTGCGCCGAGACGACAACCATTCGTGCCATGAATTTTGGTACGACTGATATTGGAGATGGAGAACTACCCTCTATAAAACCGTCCCAGATACTAGCTTTTGTCAAAGCCCTGGGACTGTATGATAAGTTATGACTCAAGAAAGGGGGACACAATGGATCTGTAAGGTCGCAGTGATTAACCCCCCTCCCACTCATTCTAAAATTCTAAAAAAAATGGGTCGATTGGCAGTCGACGTGGAGTTGAATTTCGTTGGTGATTAATATTGATACTATAATTTACGTACGAAGGTAGAGTGAAGGGAGATTCGCCCGGAGTTCGAGACGCTTCCGCTTCGAAAGCCAAACGACCCGTGTGCGGACGCTCTTTGGTATAAGGGGGGAACCATTTTTGAAAAATAACCGGCATAATTAATATACAGGGTATCCCAGGCTGAGCGTGCATTAGAAGTTTCTAGAGACCCACAATATCTAGATCGGAGATGTTTTGCACATCATTGTTTTACAACAATATCTATAGATTAAAAACATTTTTAATATGGCAGTACTTCCGAAAATACCGGAAGTTGACAGCAACTATCTTATTTTAAATGGGTGCCACTATTTTTTATTACATACTTAAATTCTCTGTAAAATTCTGTGAATATTGATTGATTTGAAAGAAATTATTTTTGATAATTTTTTCATCGCTCATTTCTATGACAGCTAGGGCCATTATTATATGATATTCGAACAATTTAATTTTTGAAATAGATAGCCACATGTTCTCTCTTTATGGCACAGTGGCTGTGGTAATCACTAAGTTTGACGTTTAGGCTATACATATATTTTTGACAGGCAGTTTTTTTCGTTCAAAACTTTCAAATATTTTTTTTTCTCAAAAACAGTCAGTGTTAGGTGTAGAATGTTTAATATCAAAATTCATAAAATTTTACAGAGAATTTAAATATGTAATAAAAAATAGGGGCACCCATTTAAAATAAGAAAGTTGCTGTCCGGTATATCCGGAAGTGCCGCCATATTTAAAATATTTTTAATCGATAGATCTCATTGTGAAACTATGATGTGCAAAAAATCTCAGAGCTAGATGTTGTAGTTCTCTAGAAACTTCTAATGCACAGTCAGCCTGGGACACCCTGTATACTATATGGTTTAAAGTAAAACATTTTTAAACAGGTTTTTGTTGAAGTTTGATGTTTATTTTTATTAATTAAATACTTACGATGTACTGCTTAGACTGCGTCTTGTGCGTGAAGACGTAGAAGTAAGACTGGATATTAAGGGCGGAATGGTACAACCCCGTCTGGATAACGGAGGCCACCGTCCTAGCGTCCGATAATATATCCAGTAATTCATCTCTAGCCAGGCTCGCTCTGTCTGGCTCCTCCGCCGCAAAGTGCCTGTATCTGTCTTGGTCTCTCTGCAACTAATTTATGGACATTAATTACAGAGAAGTAAATAAAACAACGCTGCGCTCGCTAGAGTTGTATAAAGTAGAATCTGTACGTTTATTTTCCACACAAAAATTTAGAAATTTACAATACGGTTCAATCTAAAATTATTGAAATAACTGCCTATTCGGATTTGCAGATACGTAACTTATTTCAGATACAAGTATTTGAATTACAGATATAAGATACAAAATACGTATTTTTATCTTATATTTGAAATATTTCTATTTGATTTTATTTTGTAATTTGTATTTAGATACATTTTTTTAGTATTTTATAAATACTTAGTTTGCTAAAATACTTACACTAATAATTACCTATGCATATTTTTACTTTCTCGAAAAAAGCCCAATAAATATAACACGAATAAAAGCGGTACAGCAACTTTACTGCAATTGTTCCGCAAGAATTAAAATAGGCCCAACTCTATCTGAATTATTCCCAATATCAGAACGTCTAAAACAGGGTTGTTGTCTGTCCCCAACTTTATTTAAAATCTACCTATCAGAAGCTCTTAACACGGCATATAAATCACACGGCAGGCCGACTCGCTTTGGCGGGAACGCTACGCGCATATCCTCGCGCACGCCGCCATTTGCGTTTCCATCAACAGAAAGTAACCAGTGTCGTAGTTTTTTCAGCGACAACACACAGTTACGGCAGATTCGGGTCAGTAGCGTGCGACTTAATTTATTTTGATTTTTTCTTGAGTGATATATTTTGTTTTTGTTGTTTTATTTTTGTTTATTATTTGATATATTTGGGTTTTCTAGTTTTATTTTCGTTTCTTATATATTATAATTGCTAAAAGGTGCCCGGTGGCGTAGAGGTACAGGCTTTCCTCTACTAATCTCAAGGTAGTGGGTGATAATTTTTATTAAAATAAAAATAGTTTGGGTACCTAGGTCGACTCAGCCTTAAATGAGTACTTGGGATTCACAATCCTGAGGTAACGCGAAATTTCGAGAAATAATAGGCGGTTGAAGCGTAGTGCTAGCCACATTACCTTCCTTTGTATACCGAACGGCTCTAGTATGGCAAGCTGTACCTTGCTACTCCCAAGGCGTCAAACGCTATATACGGGAGCTATTATTATTATAATGTAATATAATTTGTTTTAGTAGTTTTATTTTTGTTGTTCAATAAAAGTTTCTTTCTGTTTCCTAGAGATCCTATTAGGTATGTATATATGTGATTAATTATTTTAACATATTTTAGTTGTGAAAAAAAAACAGTAGTATACATATTAGGACATTCAGCTAAATAGGAAGATCTAATTAAAAATCTTAACAAACTTTAATATTAGTAAGATTTAATGTTAAATATTTAGTAAAATTTAATGTTGTATCTAGACATTAAAAATTAAATTTAAAAATCATTATACTATTAATTTAAATATAATTATAAAAGTAAATAAAATGAGTATATCTAAAATAAGTTAACTATACATTTTGAAGATATAAATAAGGCCCACAAAAGGTACAAGCTGCGTTCTGTTCATTTTGAATTTAAAATGTCTACCAATTCACTTTGTAACCGTATAAAATACAATGCGGTACCTACTTTGTTTTCTGCCATGAAAAAAATAGAATTTTCTCAGAAAAATTGTGGATTTATTAATTTGTGAAATTTGAATATTAATAAAATTTGCTACGCCCATTGATGGGCATAATTTGTACGTAGCCTCTTTATATTGTTCAATAAATATTTTATTGGTATTTCTTTAATTCTTGTTTGTAACTCCTGGCATGTTTTTGTTAGCTGCATGTTTTTTAATTTTAATTGTCTATTCTCTACAGTGAAATATTTAATTGATTTTTTCATTTTTACTTGTCGAGAAGTATGCGCGGTTAAGGATTCATTTGTTTGGACAAAAGTATTGTATAAATAAAATTCAGTTTCAGTCAATTACAGTATTTTTTTAATACGACCCTGTCGTATTTTCTGAGGAATTTTTTGATACGTTTTAATCCGGCCCTGACTAGGAAACGATAATGGCTCCGTCAAGGTCAAATTTAATAGAAATTTTAAATAAAGGAATCTGAGTAGAGTTGGCGTGCCGATTGTTTTATGTGCCGTGCTCTTAAGCACTGGCGCAAGAAGTGCTCTCAGATGGGAATACCTATTAATGACAACCTTTCTCTGTACACTCTGCATTTCGCCGATGACCAGATAGTAATGGCCCAAGACAAAGAAGACCTAGAATACATGACCAGAAAACTGATAGAGGAGTACGAGATGGCGAGTTGGAAAACCTAGTATTAAATAACAATATAAAAATTGAAGCTTGCGAAGAATATATGTATTTAGGGGTAAAAATCGCAAGCAAAGGGAGATGCGAATAGGAAATCGAAGAACGGATTGGTAAAGGCAGAAAGCTGATAAGAGTGCTGAACTCGGTGCTTTGGTCTAGGGATATCTCGGATCACAAAAAAACTGATTTATAACGCGATTCTGAAAAGCGTCATGTTATTTGGCTCTGATGTATGGCAGTTAAGCGAAAAACATAAAAAGAAGTTGTTGTCGACCGAAATGGACTTCTGGCGAAGATCAGCCCGAATCTCCCGTTTAGACAGAATTAGAAACGAGAGAATATGTGAAAAAATGAAGGTGGAGGGTAACATTGTACAAGATATACAAGAAAAACAACTGCAGTGGTACGGCCATGTACAACGAATGGCTGACGGTAGAATACCAAAGCAAGTGTTGCTGTGGACCCCTACAGACAGACGTAAACGAGGCCGACCTAAACTCTCCTGGAATCAAGGAATCGACAGAGCCATGTTGGAAAGGAGAGTACTACCAGGAGATTGGGACAATAGACGGAGGTGGCGCATGGAGACCGGAGGGCGACGAAGGACGCTATAAAACCGGACATACATACATATTTTTACTTTACGATATTCAGTCATAATATGGACCAAATATAATATTCGTATTAGCTATGATCAAATATCCGTAGATGAATAAACAAATCGTGTATATTATTTAAAAAATTTTTATTAACATTAAACCTACCAATAGAACAAAACGAACATTCTGAAAATTAAAACAATTTCATTCTTCTGTATCTATACCCTGCTGGCAAGCAAAACCTTGGGTCGGCGCCGGCGGCGTTTACATGTATAGGAGTGAATCGCCATGGTAGTCTAGTAAGTCGAAAGTATTTATTACATAACCACTTAATCTGACGCTAAATTCCATGCGCTTGGGAAAATACTTTCCAAAATGTCTTGCCAACACACAAAAATCGGCACCCAAGACCACTGTATAGTATTAATGAATGGATTAAAGAAAATCACCCATTTAATTCTTTAAAATGAAATGGGTTCCAAAATCATTTAAAGAACATGTCAACGATCTTGTCCTGGCTGAAACACGTCAAAATAAATAGGTATGAAAAACAAAAATGGGACACTTTAAACATAAATGGGGAATACTCAAAAAGAAAGACAAAAGACCAATCATATTACATGTTTTTGGAGGACTCTGATTTTCTTGTTTCAATATCATTATATACAATATTTTTTATTCTTTTGACAAAGTTATTGCATTTAAAATGTTTAAGAGCTTGACAAAGTCCTTTAATTTATTTTAATTTAGCTTTTTATTCAGATAAAACTGAAATAAATGAATTTCAGGACAAAGAAAAAAGCGTATTAGCGAAACTAGGTCTCTAGCATTTTATATCAGCATTGTACACTCGTAAAATATATCTTTTTATTTAGACGCTCTACGCGTCTTTATGCCGCTGGATGTATGAGATTTATCGTCGACATACTTTGAGAAGAGACAATTTTCCAACATAAGACGTAATGAAATGAAAGAGAAAAAATGCCGTCCTCATTACTCTTAATATAGAGCGCCAGCCGTATGTATAGCCGGCGTCGAATGAGGACTTTCTTGAATTTATTTATCTTATTTTTTCTTCTTATTTTTATACATGATTTGCGATCTTAATTTGCACAACTTTTTTACATCGGTGTACTCTATAGACGTGTATAAAAGCTAAACTAATCATATAAATTCATTTATTTTGTCATTATTATTTTAATTAATAGTATCATCATTTATTATCATATACAAACAAAATGTAAACAAACCGTTTATTTATTATACATTTTTTTAAATTCATTTGACAACAAACTTAATATAATCCGCGCCGCATTGAGACAGAACTCATATTTTAGAGAGGTTAGTTCTCCATCTCCGATATCAGTCGTACCAAAGTTTATGGCAGGAATGGTTTTCTTCTCAGCGCTCAGCGCACTTAGTGATGAGGTGCTCTGGTGTTTCCCCACAGATAATTAATCGTGAGCCTTGACTATACTTGCCGAGACGCAAAAAATTACTGCGCAAATAATTTACTGTTATAGCGCATGTCCAGTTTATTTCCGGATCGTAGTGTTTTTCGAGTTAATTGTCGATAATTTAAAACGTTAAAACAATAATAGATCGTATAATATCAAATTTACATTAATAAGTTCAATGTTGGCGACATACCTAAATCGTTCCCATAGCAATAAATGGAGTGAACAAATTTAAACTACACGGGAAAAATCGATATGTCACATTTTCATAGAAATTAGGATAACGATACAACTTTATAGACAAATCTTAACGTCATACGAGAAAAAAGAAAGCAATGGGCGCGTTCAGGGACGGTCAGCGGCTGAGTGGCTGAGTAAGTGGTTTCCCTAAACGGTCTCTTTTTACACGTAAAACAGTCAGCCGCTGAGCAAAATACTCAAAAAATAGTTTAGATTTAGGTTTTATATAACCTTTAATTGGACATCCCTGGATTTTCCTCATTACTCGTGTTTTGCATTTTGACATTTTTATTTCGATATTTCAGAATATGGCCATAATTAACAATATTAATAATTTAGAATTGATAGTAATATATATTTTTCTAACTATTCAATCGAAAATAACATATTTCTTTAAAAGCACTAAATTGCATTTTTCTCGGCTC